TAATGAGATTTTCAATTGAATCCCACAACAGGAATTAATCAAAAGGAAAAAAAATTTAAGGCTTTATATACAAAGATCTTTATTTCAGAGTTATAACAGGAAAAAAATACCTGGAAATAACAAAATACATGAGTGCCACGTATACCCTGGATTTCTCTGGTATGAGAAAGAAATTATTATTTGGCGTCTGTTACTAGTAGCCAAATTTAATAGGAATTAACCTAAAGTAGCCATCTGCCCAGATGGAAGAGCATGTTCACAGGCTCCAAGGCAAAAAAGAGGTTGGCTATTCAAGGCCCAAGGAGCAGCCCAAAGGAAAAGGAAAATGGCAAGAGACTGCAGCAAGAAGTAGTCAAAAACCAAATCACGAAAGGCCTTATAGGCCTTTTTAAGAACATGGGGGGGGGGGGGAGGACAGAAAAATTAAAGTAATTGACTTCCTAGGGCAGAATACTAGGGGGAAAGGGCTGTAAAGGAAGTATTTTAAATGTTTCTTTAAAAAAATGCTATCACTCAAGAACATGTACCTGGAAGTGATCAAGCATTTCCAAGGAAAATTTCCAATGCTTTGTTTAATTAATAAAACGTTTTTGTAATATAGCTGGAATACTTCAAAAGTACAAGGCATATTAAATACTTTGTTATATCTATTATTTGAGTTAATCTATTTTTATTTTTTTTTTTTTTAATTTTTTGTTTATTGCAGTAACATTGGTTTATAACATTGTAAAAATTTCAGGTGTACATCATTGTACTTCTATTTCTGCATAGATTACATCATGCAACACGATTTGGAGGTATGTACTGAAATTTTGGGAAGGCTGATTCCTAAAAAAAAAAAAAACCTTTTTAGATGCATCCATTTTTTTAAAAGATTTCTGCAAGCCATATTCTCACTGCTTTATTCAATTGGTCTGTTTGAACAAAAGCACAAATTATTCATAGAATACTTATATCCAATTCAGCAATCCTCAAGTACAATTTCAGGAATAAAGGACAAGAGAATCAGTGTTTCAATAGTTTATTTTAGCAGATAATGTATTTAAACAAATAAAAACAAGCCATTATAAACAACCAAAAAATAAAAGAAAAATAGCTTCTAACCTGTTTCAGACCAAAAGAGTAAAGCATTCCCTCCAGAGATATTTCACCTGATAGTTTCCTGTGCTACCTCTCTTACACCTTTCAACTCTTGCTACCTAAATGTAAGAAAAATACCAAGGCAACCCTATGCTGCTGCTATTAACAGAAACTTTAGAGTTAAGAGGAAAAGATGTGAAGAACAAATATATAAAAGCTCTCTAACTCTTCAAATGGAACAAATGATTTTCAGAATGTTTTCATCGATAAGTAGATTGCTCAATAATCTGGTTCTTGATAGATGAACAAGATGACAAAGTAGCAAAATGTACAAGTGCTACTGTTCTAAACAATCAAAAAGAGAAAAAGAACATTTAGCTAGATCATTAAATTTAGTTATGTCGTAAGCCCTCAGCGGTTTCCTCCAAACCATTACATTGTTCGCATCTAACTTCAATGCCCCCAAAGATTCAGTTTCTTTACCAAGAAATTCAGACAGACTAAACTCCAGCAGTAAATCCTGTAAGGGATTCATTCAGTTTTTAGTAGGCCATAAGACTCAACTGTAGAGATGACAACATTATGTTTGTTAACACTGTTAATATATCTAACAAGCACTGAAAAAGGCTGTTTGTAGACTTTAAATCATTGTTTCAATGATTTAAACGATGCAAGTCATGGAGGTTCCCCTGCCCTTATATAGAAGTTTTGAATCTATGTGAGCAGGCATAAATACACAAAATAAAAAGTAATGTGAAGCAAACAATACAAAACATTGCAAGAGATGAGATGTAGTACAGTTTCATAAGGAAAACACAGAAAATTAAAAGAAAAAAAAGAATGGATAGAAATTAAGTTAGGAAATCAAGTAGAAAATCAAAGTTTGAATCTCAGTTCTGCCACCATCACTAGATGTGTGAATTTTAGTGCAGTTATTCTGTATGGATTTCATTTCCCTTATCTATAAACGGAAAGTTGATTCCAATGTTCCGACAATGCTGTTCCATGATATTATGATACAAGCCCACATAAGATTAAAAACCAAAGGAATGATAAAACAGTAAGGGCTATGGGTTCAAAGGAAAGTAGAGAACAGAAAGAGCTGGAAGACCGCACTGAAGGACCAAAAATGAAACTTCAACAAAATCTGACTTCATTTGCTACTTGGGTAATTAAAGGGGAAGAACTTCTTTTAAAGACTAGGCAGGCTACGCACAGGCATTCAAAGGCGCAACAGATATGAAGGTAGAAAAATACAAAATCTAAACAAGAGATTGGTTTGGTTAGAGCGGACAGCTTCTACAGAGAAATAGTGCTGTCATTAGAAAAAACAGGTTTTGAACAGATTGTCAGAAGACTAGGAATTCTGAACCACACACTCTGTAGACAACAGGAAGCAGTCACTGGTTCAACAGTGAGAAACATGTTCCAAGCATTATTTTAATTTTAAGGCAGAAGGCAGGACACACTGTGCAGGGAAAAAAGGTAAGCAGAAAACTCAATTAAAAGCTACTGGAAAAGATACCTGAAAGAAATTTCAAGAAATGGCTGACAAAAATTGGCCAATGTTAAGTTATGTGGATAGAGGAAGTCAAAGACAAAACCAAGGTTTGTGTCCCGGTAACTGAAAGCATGATAATATCACCAAAACAAAGTCAGCATATGGAATCGCTTTTGAAGGGAAGACTATAAATTCTATCTTTAGTTTAAAGTGAAGATCATCCAGGGCTGGCCCCATGGCTTCGTGGTTAAGTGCGCGCGCTCTGCTACTGGCGGCCTGGGTTTGGATCCCTGGTGCACACCAACGCAACGCTTCTCCAGCCATGCTGAGGCCGCGTCCCACATACAGCAACTAGAAGGATGTGCAGCTATGACATACAACTATCTACTGGGGCTTTGGGGATAAAAAGAAAAAAAAGGAGGAGGATTGGCAATAGATGTTAGCTCAGAGCGGGTCTTCCTCAGCAAAAAGAGGAAGATTAGCATGGATGTTAGCTCAGGGCTGATCTCCCTCACAAAAAAATAAATAAAAAAATAAAGTGAAGATCATCCAGACAGAACCGTTGCCTTAATTAAATAATCTTTAAATGCCATTTTTAGCCCTGTCAGCTGTCTTCCTAAAACAGCACAGCTAAGTACTTATGAAGAATTTGTTAAATTGCTTAGTGATTTCAAGAGTTCCCTCCAATTTTACTTACAGACTAAATAAATAACCATTTAGTCTTCTGGTGTAAGTAGAAAACATTTGGTATTTTTCCATATTATAAAGGTGAGCAAATTGTAAAAGTTTTTAATAAATTATGATAGGAAAAAATGGACTGCATCTCTATTTATTTAAATCAAGTCCTCCTGACAAGTGATTTACAACAATAATTACATCAAACCTACCTTGAGCTTTGGCAGGAAAGTTCTCAAAGGTCCAAAAGAAAAACAAATCCAGCGGCATACAGTATCACTCGATGCCTAACAAAACATTCTATGTATGTGTTAAGTTTTATTTACATCGACCTGAAAGCACTGGTAAAATCTAGACTAAAAGATAATGCTTAGAAAAATAAGGCAAACAATTTAAAATTTAATACGTGAACAAGCACAGCTGAGAAGTCTTGAACACTACAGTGTTTACACTATTATATAACTCCTACAGACCACAATATGCCCAAATAAGAAAATCCCAGAGTTTGTGATCAACATAGCATGAAACTACCGTTAACCAACCAATGCATATTTCTTGTGTTACTACCAAACTGGGAATGGGATGCCTATTTAAGAAATGAACATTATTGACAACTACCAAACAAAACCGTCTTCTTGGATTATTTCTCCATTTACTTTGTGACCTCGCTGCAGACTGAGGTTTAGGCACAGTGGTTTCCAGGTGCTTAATAAACTCTACGGTCGGTTTTTTCATAAATCTACCAAAGTAAGATTTTTAAAAATGAATACCTCTTGCAACACTTACCCGTTTTGACCGGACACTGAGTTTCTTTGCTCACCACCAAAGAAGTGGTTAGAAAATTCTCCTCAACTTCATTCTTGCCTAACTCCAATGGTTTCTTACCAAATCTAACGGGCAGAATTCTTTTTAGGTGGCCAGTTCATCAGTTCAACATGATTTGAGCGCCTATGTTACGGTTCTCACCCCTGAACAGCTTCCCGAGCTTCTAACGGCAAATTGAACTTTTATGAAAACACATAAGGTTACAAACCCAGCCTACCGAGATTTTTTTTTTTTTACCGGACATGTTACAAATTCAAGGCAAAAGCTCCAATAACAAGCAACTCGCGTACAAATCTACAGTCCACACCACTAAAACAGCCCCGCTTTCCCGAGAACCCGGGAAAGGCCGGGAGTGGGGAGGGGTGGGGGGAGGGGCAGAGGGCGCATCCCGAGGATGTCCACCCTCGACCCAGGGCACGGCTCCCTCCTCTGCTCTCCGGCTGGAGGTGAGCGCGCCCCTTCCCTCCTCTCCCATGTCCCCACCTTCCCGACCTCGGATTACGCCACAACAGGCAACAGGACTTTTTCGGGAGGAAAAGAAACAGGGAACGCGCGCGCTGCACACTCCACCTCCCAGCCTCACAGGGGCGGCCGGCCCGGCGCTCACCCGGACCTGACACGCCGGGGGCGGCCAGGGAAGCCGCGGGGCCGCGCCGCCCGGGGCCGTAGCCGGAGGTCGCGCAGAGCCGCGGGACAAACGCCCCGGCCCGGCCGAGCGGCCTCCCCGCCCCCTCCGGCTCAGCTCTGGGCCGGCAGACGGCGCCCCCAGGGCTAACTTCGCCGGCGAAGAGGAAGCAACGCAGCGAGTTAACAGGCTGTATGGACGCACGGAGGAAGGAGACACTGCGTGTCTGCCCGGCGGCAGGACCGGCTCACCTTCCCTCTGCCGAGCCCGGGCGGCGCCAGCTCACCTGATGGCACCGGGACGACGCCGCGGCCACCGCGATGGCCGTTACGGCACGAGGCCTCCCCTCCGCCGCCGCCGCGTAGCTCTCGGGAGAGGGGCGGGGCGCCCGCGGCGGGCGGGCGGGGCTGCAGCTCCGACTGGCCGCCAGGCCGCGGGCGGAGCCTCGCGGGCAGGAAACCCCCTCCTGGCCCAATCTGATAGTCTCTATCGCCGTCTTCCCGCCTACCCCTGAAGCGAGAGCTGCCTGCACCGCGCTGGGATTGGGCTGGCCCGCCTGTCAATCAAGAGCTGGGCTGGGCCTGGAGCGAGCTGAGGCTGCGCGGCGGAGAAAGAGAGGGTGAGAGGCGGGTGGTCTGACTGACTCGTGTTTCTTTTCCACCGCGCTGAGTATTTTGGTCCTCCTCCTCCTCGGCTTCGCGGGAGACTCCACAGCAAAAATTACTGCTTCCCTGCTTCAGCCCCAACCGCTCCGGGATCTTCCTCCTGGTTTCTGCGCCTGAAGAGGGTCTTGTCAGATGAAGGTTCTTAGGGGCAGGGAGCGAAAAAGAAACCAAAAGGCCTGGAAATGAGGACCTGAGAGAAAAATGTTTAAGACGTATGCTTAATTTGAGCCACAAACCGAAATAAACAGTCTGAGAGGGTTTGAAGTGTCCTGGTGCGTGGGTAGCTTCCAGTCATCTTGTGAGGACAGTGACCCTCGGTGCCAGCTCTGCCCACTCCTAGTGGCCTAGCCCCAGCCGCCTGCTGCTCGGCAGGAAGTGGGTTCTCCACGCCGGTGCTGCAGCCCCCATAACCTGCCTCATTCCTTCCTCTGTGGCTCAGCTGAGGCGTGGCCTCCTTAGGGAACCTTTCCTGGAACACAGGCATTTTCCCCATCCAGGCTGCTGAAATAGTTTGTCCGCATCCCTACCTGGATTGTAAACTCCGTTAAGTCAGGAAGCGTGTCAGTATTCAGTTTTTCCCCAGTCCTGGCACAGGATAGATCGTCAGTAAATATTGTTTAAGGCATTAATACATTTTCCTGTCCTTGCTTTAATCCTGGCCCTGACTGTAAGTTCCAAGAGTTCACACTTTTCTGCATTTCATTTTAAAATTATTCATTTGAGTGCTGATAGACTATGTGGTTTGCTTGCCACATATGGGATCATGAGATCAAGCACAAATCACCTCTGGCCCCTTCCTGGCCTGAAGTTGGCTGGGGCAAGTAGACCGTGAAACTCTGGGCAACAGCTACTGCATGGCTACATCCCATTATTAGCATCCAAAGTGAATAAGTGAATTTTTACTTTATTCTAAGGGTCTAAATACCTTTGCATATGTTATCATGGCTGCTATGGACTGAATTGTGTCCTCTCCCAAAATTCATGTTCAAGCCCTAAACCCCAATGTGACTGTACTTGAAGATGTCGGTCATGAGAGGACACAGTGGGCAGGTGGCCATGTGCAAGCCAGGAAGAGAGCTCTCACCAGAAACTGACCATGCTGGCACCCTGATGTGGGACTTCCAGCCTCCAGAACCGTGAGAAATTAAATTTCTGTTGTTTAAGCCACCCAGTCTGTGGTATTTTGTTATGGCAGCCCGAGCTGACTAATAAAAATAGTTTTATTTGTTGACACATAAAGTTTATGGATTGAGATATTATTATATTCATTCTTGAAGCTGGAGAAACCATTGTACAGAGGTTAAAACTATTTCTCCAAAATCACACAGCAAACTGTTAGCAAAACCTGGCTCAATTTAATTCTAGTTACATATTTAACTTGATGGGGGCAGGGGGAGTGAATACAAATAGAACAGGTAAAGTAGTCCTTGCTATCAGGTAGCTTATACCACCATCTTAAGTGCGGAAAATAAACCCAGAAAAAATATGCTGAAGTCATAAGTTTAGCTTTTATTTTGTAAGGGAATATGTATTTTGAAGGGGCCAATGATCTAAACAGACCCTTCACAAGATTTTTATCCAGATCTCTTGACCCTTGTGTGCCACCTATTCAAGCAACAGAAGTAAGGGAGAGAGCTTTTTCATACAAGGGTTTTAGTTCCCTGTAAACATGCTTTTTCCTTTTAGTTTTCCTTCTTTAAGTTTTCTCATCACCCATTCTTACCAGGAACTCTTAAAAAAAAAGAAAAACTCAAAAAATAGATGAAAAAGAGAAGGAGTAAAAGAAGGAAAAAAAGGAAACAGCAACGAAAGAGGAAAGCATTGGGTGGAAGGGCAGAGAGGCAGAAAGTCGTGTGAAATCGCAGTATAGGGTACTTAGAAGGAATGGAGTCCATGTTCTTATCTTATGGGGTGGAAGTTTTTCCAGACACTTTCCTGCACACACTGTCTCCCCAACTTTCAAACGTAAACACACACGAGGCTGCTGCTTCCTCTCTTTTTGAGGAACTCAAACCAAAAACAGGAATCACTTCTCTTAATTAGTGCTGAGTAGACCAGGGTCTAGCCAGAATCAGGCAAGAACAAAATTTAGGTCAAAACTTATGACCTATGGACTGGAAATGTGGCTTTGGATATGAGAAGCTAATCTGTCTAGGATAAAAACATGCAGGCGGCTTACTTTATTAATCCCAAAGGAAAGGATTTGGGAAGACAAGAAAGGGAAAAATGAGCCTCCATGTCTCAAGGCCTTTCCCAGGAAACTTGATAGCTTATGGTATCATTTCTAACTGTCATTAAGTTATGATAGTTGTGATAGTTAGTTATGATAGAAATGATTAGAATGATCTAGTTTAGCATCACTGTCAAGCAGGACTGTTTAGGACAAAAAAAAAAAGCCCTACCTACTAAACAGCAAGAAGTAACTAATCACAGGCTTGATCATGATGTATAGAAATTAGTGGACCCTGGTAACTAAATTTAATTTCTGCATTGAATATTGTTATAATTTTCTGGGCATTAATTCAACAAAAATTTATTAAGAGTCTACTTTATGGTAGGCATTACGATAGATACTGGAGATATAAAGATCCATCTCAAATTTAAAGAAGCTCAATTCAGTGTCAGAGAATGAGATTTGGGGGCCGGCCAGGTGGCTCAAGCGGTTAAGTGAGCGCACTCTGCTGCAGCGGCCCGGGATTCGTCGGTTCGGATCCCGGGCACGCACCCATGCACAGCTTGGCAAACCATGCTGTGACGGTGTCCCATATAAAGTGGAGGAAGATGGGCGCGGATGTTAGCCCAGAGCCAGTCTTCCTCAGCAAAAAAAAGAGGAGGATTGGCAGATGTTAGCACAGGGCTCATCTCCTCACAAAAGAAAAAAAAAAAAGAGAATGAGATTTGAACAGATACTTATTATTAATGTAGTAAATACAGCAATAGATATGTACAGGGGAAATTAAGCCACAAGGGGAAGGGAGTCGTGTGATCAGGCTAGTCTAGCAATTAGGTGGGCAAAGAAGAAAAGGGTTTTCCACATAGAGGGGCCTGATAAAAAAGGTATTACAGGGCCGGCCCCGTGGCTTAGCAGTTAAGTGTGCGCGCTCCGCTGCTGGCGGCACAGGTTCGGATCCCGGGCGCGCACGGACACACTGCTTCTCCGGCCATGCTGAGGCCGCGTCCCACGTACAG